GATTGATAAGCACACTAATGTTGCAAATGGGGCGATAAAAAGTAACTAGAAGAACAAATTTGGTGTTATTACTCAATAGGTTAGTGGTTACTACTACTAATTCTAGTATGTGTCTTTCTCAAATGATTTTAGTTAGGACGAGAGTGAAGTTAATTAGAAAACGGTCGTGCGATCTTGTATACACATATATCTTTTGCAACTCCTTTAATTTTTCTTCTATAGTTGATTTTGTAATGACCAAACAGTATTTCAGCTTCTATTCTTTGTTGGTTTGAATTTTCTAACCTTTAGTAAAAAAATTTGGATCGCCCATGTTTTTGATGTTTCGTGTGTAGTTTGTTCTGCCTTTGTTGTCATAATCGTAAGATTGTAGTTTGTTAAATGATTTTGTTTTTGTAATCACACAATTGAAAATTGAAATAAAATATTCTTGTTGTCTTAACGTATATATTGCGAAATATACCAATTTCAAAATACGCATTGATTGTTATTTGGAAATATTCGCGTATTTTGCAAGAAGCTAAAAAGTATATATCGGAAAAAACTATCCTCACAAAAAAAAACTATTGATGTTGCAAAAAGCTAAAAGGTATATCGGAAAGCATTTCTGAACTAAAGGAGATCCTCGAAGTCAGCTTCTCAGACCGGTTAAAAGCATTTCCGAAACAATGACTCACACGTAAGCTTCTAGCTCTGTCATTTTTTTATCTGGTAACTGTGTAAGCCTACACAACAAAACCAAAGGAGTGAGAGATAATTATAAATTTGCAAGCAATGGTGTATTATAATTAACAAATACCGGAAAACATGAATGTTGTTTTTATTACCTTGATCTGTTCGAGCAGATTCTTGGCGCGAGCGTCTGTTTTGAAATGATCAAGAACAGGCTGCAATATTGGTAAAGGAGGTAATGATTATGTTGTTGAATATACAAACTACTAAAACGTTTTCCAAATAAATGTTTGTTTTACACTAATATCATCCACCATCATTAGATACTCGTGAAGCTGTAACATTAAAAAGTTTTTACTTACTTGCAAAATCTTATTCAACGCKTTCGTCAGGCCTTTCTTCAGATCCCTGGGATGCAACTCGCCGCTCTCATAATCAGCAGCAATGTTTTCAAAGTTTTTGTAGGTCCTACTATTTGAAAGAAATTCCACAGCAGGATTTTTAACCATTTTATGTACCGAGGAATTATATGATTACAACAATAAAAACTGAATTTGAAATACATCAAGCAGCCCAGAAAGTTTCGAAAAAACTCACTTGTTACCATCATCTTCTTCATTTCTCTCAATTGTGAACTCATCAAACCACGGTAGAGTGATGTATTTGATGTATTCAAGGCATGGATTGCCTTGCACAATTTTTGGAGGACAGTAAGCTTTCTTGATCTTCTCATTAACTTCAGCCTGAGGACAATCAAAACAATTTAATAACAGTAAAAACCCTTGTCTAGTTTTGTAAGCTTAGAAAAATTGGCTAAGTTACAGCTACCTCCTCATCTTCTATAAAGATGGCAGATAATGGATCAGTTTTGGACATCTTTTCTTGTCCTTGTTGGAGACCAGGAAGCATATCTGCAAGCTCAAAGATGATAAACCAGGCTAGAGCAGGAAATACATGGCATAATACAAGTCAAATAGACAAATTAGAGCGTACGGTGCGACAAGATTATTGGTTTGTTTTTCCTCTTTATGTCATCACAGTATTCCCTCGCTAACATATTTACTTTTCTTTGATCCATCCCAAGCTGGCAAATATCAGCCTACAGATGTAAAAGAAATGTTTTAACATATAGATACACATCAAATTCGCAGTCCTCAAAGTTAAGTAAAACAGTACTGATTGAATCCAAACAGACATAATCACTGATTGAATAGAGCCCTTATGGATATCAGAAATAAATAAAAAAAATAATAAGATAAGAGACCTGAGCGATGTGCATCCTTCCTGATGGTTCAAAGCCATCGTAGCAAGAAGATTCTTTAGCTCATCCTCTTTTATGCATTCCTCACCGATGCTCCTAAGAATCTGGTATCTCTTCTTCTCAACCTCTTCGCTCATCCTGGAATTAGTAAAGATTCAAATCCGTCAGATCAATCTAAGTAGATAAACAAAAAGCAACACTCTGTCTCAGGTTTCAATTCAATGCTTTTCAATCTAAATTGCTATAGCCCAGAATTTGACAAAAAGCAACACTCTGTTTTTTCCTTTTGCACTTGTAGTTAACCTTTTTTTCTAGTTTCTTTTTGTTGAAGAAACCGATTCAAGGCATAAAGGAAAAAACAAATGTATTGGACTATCTCAATGCTTAGGCCAGAATATTGATTTAGGCCCATCTCGTTTACGATCTCCACCTTCGGCCCAATCAACCAATTCTCCTCTCATTTCTTCCTTTTCTCATTTCTCGTTGGAAATAAAAAACGTATATATTGCCAATATATACCAATTTCTAAATACGCATTTATTGTTGTTTGGAATTATTCGCGTATTTTATA